TCACCTCCCCCACATTGTTGATTACAAGCAGGAGCCACACCTGGCTTTTTACATGAGTTCTGGCATCATGCTTGTGTGGCACTTTACTGAATGAGCTGTCTCCCCAGTCTCAGCACAAAGAGCTTAAGGGTTTTTGTTGTTGTTGTTGTTTGTTTGGTTGGTTTTTTTGTTTTGTTTTTGATGAAATATAATAGAACAGCTTGTGATACCTCAAATATCCTAAGTGGTGGTGTTAATACGTTGTGCTACTGACTAATTTGAAAGGGTAAAATAGTGAAAAAGAAAATAAACATGCCAAGTGTTTTACTTCTGTTACTAATGAGAAAACCTAGTAAGTGAAACCACCAGTCCAAAGGAGAGTCAAACAACAGACACATCTATGGTCAGGGCTGATGAAAGGAATCTGCTCATAGACAGAAAACAGTCTAGTTACAGGCAACGATAACCCATTTTCTTTGTACAGAACAAGAAGCTACGTGACTTATATGAACAGGAATCATATACATCATGGCCAGCAGTTAAAACTCAAAGTACCCAGAGCTGCAAAATAACCAAAATCAAGAACAGGCTAAAGGTACAGAATCAGGTCATCCAGATTAGGCTTCATCACCTACCTACTGAAGGATATCCAGGGATGTTTCTGTCCACTTTAAAGACTTCTGAAAGTTTTCATGGCAAGGATTGGTATGTCTGCATATGGCTTAATAAGTGAGATTTCTCTGTTATTTGATCTACTAACTTTGACCCAGTCTAACATGTACAATTTCAATACATTTTTCTTTTTTAAGAATTTATTATTTTCTTTCTTTTACTGAAAATAGATTTATTTATTTATAGAAAATACAATATATTCTGGTTATGGTTGCCCTTCTCCAACTCCTCCCAGTTGCTCCCCCGACTCCTATGAGAATCCACGGATCACAGCACACGGCTGAGTAGAGTGGAGCCAAGGAAGCTGCAAGAGGCAGAGGTCAGTGTGCTGGCTCGGAGGAGGTAGTGTGCATGGAGTAATGGTTAGGACTTTCTGACTGAGGAGGTAGTGTGCAAGGAGTGATGGTTAGGACTTTCTGACTGTAAGAGTCAGAGAACCAGAACATCTGCTGGGAGACAATGTCTTCTAGACATGATTTTGTTTAGGAGTCAGAAAGTCAGGCTCAAATTCAGTCTTCAAAGATGAAAGCAGGAATCTTAAGAGGTATTTGTACTAACAGTTTCCAATGATGTTAAATTTCCCTGGGGCAACACCTAAGTCAAGTCAGTTCAAATTATCCCTGAAATCTAGTTTGAGCTTTTCTGTTGACTTTTCCAACAATAAAGGGTTCCGTGCGATTACACTCGTCCTTACTGACCTCTGCCAGTCATCATCTCCTTTTTCTGGCTCCTTTGGTTCCCTCTCTGCATTCAACAACCTCCTATAGTTTTTAGTTTATTTCAGTTACCTGCACAGGATTGGACCCATCAACATTTCATCATGCAGAGGAGTGGGGCTCATGAGGTCTTACTCATCACTAAGGGACAATGGTCAGTTAAAGTTTGCTGAGGAAAAGCTGTCTTTTTCTGTAGTGGAAATAGCCACTGGTAAGTTGCAGTAAACAACCCCCAATTCATGCTCCCATAAGAAGTACAACTAAGCAGTCCTCATCCTTTCTCACTACACCCTAAGACAAGAAAGTAGGAGGGAGGCTTGGAGGGAAGAAGGATTTCAACAGGAGAGGGAGTGGGTGAGACAGGGTAATAACAAAACTGATTATATACATGCCTGAAATTGTTAAAAGAACTTAAGAAAAGATGAAAAGGGCTGGAGAGAGGGCTCGGAGGTTAAGAGCTCTTACTTCTCTTGCAGAAGACCTGGATTTAATGGCCAGCAGCTACATATGGTGGCCACTACCACGCGGAACTACAGTTCTGGGAGATCTGATGGCTTCCATGGGCACCTGCATGCAGGTGGTGCACATAAACTCTGGTAGGCACACACACACATGCACATAGATTTAAAAAGGTGAATCAGGGAAAAGATGATCAGGGACTGATAACATTCCATGAATAAGCAATTCCAGGGCAAAGGAAGTAGAAGTAGCAAAGTATGAAGCCAATATGAGAGAATAAAGAGAGAAACCATCAAAAAAAAGTAGCAAAGTATGGAAGCAGAAGCTGCCAATCAAACAAAAACCATCATACTTACCAGCAGAGACCATAAAGACATATCACTGACATGCTAGCTCATTAAAGTGATTTACATTTGTGCATTCCAAGGAGTGGGAACAGGAGACTTGTGTGTTTGAGAGCAGAGTCCTGAAATGACTACTTTTATTGTTTTATAATTAAATAAAACCCAGGAGTCAGATATTGGGGTAAAAACCTGGTAGATCCATAGAGCGATGGAGAAACATAATCTGACCCAGTCTCTCCATGATTCTCGGATTGAAAATCTAAACCTATCCCTATTCCTTCTTGTCTCTCTCTATCCTAATCTGGGTCTGCCAAAAATTCTATGGTTAATCCTGGCCAGCTGAATGTTGACTCCACCCTCTGATTTAAGTTTAACTTTATTGGCAGTCTTGGAGTGTCAGTGTGAACAAATCTCCTGAAACAGAGTCCACTATGATAACAGTGCAGGAGAACATGGTGCTTGCAGTGAAGGCTAAGTTACAGTGACCTATGAGACGCCTTTCTCTCCTATGGTATAGAGTCTAAGCAATTCTTGTGCAAGGCTTGATTCAGTGCATGTGGATATCATGCTGCTATGCAATAAAACTATTTGGAAAGTTTCAGCTCTTCAAGATGATACACAGGTAACTTTCATACTTTTTAAAATGTAAAAATGTGATGTGTGGGTTTGCGGAGTGGTAACAGATATATTAGACTACTTTCAAAACCTGTGGCACCAGACCTTAAAGTGAGTTAGATGGGCAGGTGAAAGCATAAAGCAGGAAACCAGTTGATTATGGGGGTGCCCACAAGAGAAGTAGGTTATTCTCATTGATGCGAGAAGGGCTGAGAACTAAGCTACTGTAGCTCTTTCTTTCTTCTCAGGGTTGGAGCCTCCTCTGCAGCTGTGACAGAACAATGGTGACCTACCAGAGTGTAGAACTGAGTAAAACGGGGGCATCTGTGAACAAAATCATCCCACTTCTCTGTCATCAACATATACAATCATACTTATTTTGTTGTTTTTAAATACAACCCATGTTAGAAGCCCCTAGAACAAGAATTTTCTTGATAGATAATTTCAATTCTATCTCTTTGTATGTGCTAAGAAGTTGCTGGGTATTGGCTGCATTTTGAGGCAATCTAACTCTTAACTTGCCTGATACTAGTTAGGTAGTCCAGTCTGGCCCCACACTAGTGGCAATCATCCTGCCTCAGATGCCTGAATGCTAGGGATTACAGATGTGCCCCATCATGCCCAGCAGTTTTTCATTTATTATCATAAAGATGTAGAGAAAAACAATTATTTCAAAACTCAAAGCCACTTATAACTAAAAAATGGATAATGGCATATTGCATTTAGGCAAGATCAAGCATTATACTCTTCAGCATGTACATAGTACCGTGGGAACTAGAGGATGAAAGGTATTCTAAAGGGCTTAGGGGAACTATACTTGGACTTATGATTCCCATTACCATCAGGACTAGCATGCTGGGCTACAGCACCTCTCCCCATCTGTCTCTTGGCTTGGTGTTTTATCCTTCCTGGTGCCAGGACTGGAAAATGTGGTCACCACTAGATCTGGAAGAGAGCTTACTGCTGTCTACTTAGGATCTTTGTAAGTAATGGAAATGTAGGAACTAAAACAGTTGATTTAGGTTGCAATGTTTTTAAAAGACTTCTAATGGAGCTCATGCCAGCTTCAGCTGAACAGCTTCAAAGCCATTACACACTTATATGCAGGGAGGAGGCCTGCTTTCTTTTCAAACTGACAAGTCTATAGATGTGTTTCAAAGCAGTTCCAATTTTCCTAATTATTTCATCACTGACTCATAGAAAGGACTTAAAAATAATCTTTTTTATCTTCAAACTGTTTCAATAGTAAACATGTTAGAAAAGAATGACATGGTGTGGTACATATTTCTTATACAGCCTGAGATAAACTGGTTAATCATGGCTGAGTGATTCCATGTCTGGCAGTTTTTCTTTTCTGTTTTTTTGAAGGGTGCATCAACATTTATTGAATAAACATTCTGTTTTATTTTTCAAGTCAGGAAGTTTTTGAATAGCTTAATGTAGCTCATAATTTTTGAAAAACATTTAAATATTTAATAACAGAAGCTAATCTGTGAGAGCTCAAAGGTTTGACTATGAAAACCACTTCCAACTTCAGAACTTTAGCTACTTCTAAAAAGTAAAGTGTAGCTCCTGTACATAAATCAAGAGAGAAGTTGGACCTCACAGCCATGGCATCAGGAGGCATAAAACAAAAAGAAAAACTGACTTCGTCAGGATTAATTTAGTTAGTTAAGTTTTAGGAAATAAATACACAAGGAAAGAAGTCTAAGAAAGTATCTGTTAGCCAAATATCTGATGTAGGACTCATAACTAGAGCATGTAAAGGACTCACAGTCCAGGCCAAAGGGAACAGCTTAATTAGTAGACGAGCAAAGACTTTATTTTCTCCAAGAAGTTATACAAATGTCCCATAGAGCTTATAGCAGAGATGCTGGGCCATCGTAAGTCATCAACAAAACAAGTCAAAGCTAGGAGTATACATTCTAAGGCTCTAAGCAACACAGGAGAAAAGCATAAATGACTTAGATGGTGGTGGGGATTTACAGTAGTACAGGGACTACAGAAAACAGACTGTCAGTTCATCCTTAGGTTACTTTTTGACCATCAAAGACATTAAGGATGAAAATTGCTAGGTGTGGTGCAGATGCCTGGGAACAGGAGGCTTACCTAGAGGCCCATGTTTTCAAAGTCATCTCTGATTAAAACAAACAAACACCCTCTCACAATGGAAAAAGACCCCCCCCCCCCCCCTTTTCAGAAGGGTTTTACTTACTGAGGTTCCATTTCAGGCCTGTTGTCGTCACCTGGTTGCAATGCTGTCCAACAGGAATAAGGCCACACCAGCTGCCTTCCATTCCAGTGTCTACATGGAGCCTGTGCTTGCCCTGAAGGAGAAGAGCGACAGTGAAAAAGGGGAGGAAAGGGGCAATCTGCAGCATGCCAGCAGCCGGATAACACTTAATGTGGCTCATCACAATGCCAACCACAAACTAACTTAGCACATGCTTTAGTCCTAAGAACTGACTAATGCCGATTTAGTTTTCAGAGCTTTTCTATATCAGCTTACTATAATTATCAGTTTTACAGTTGATAAATTGGTTAAATATATCCAGAGCCATACATATAAAGTATTATTCCTTGCACCTGCCAATTCTAAAGATACCATCCACTGCACCTACTGAGGATGCAGCCTTTTGTGACACAGAATTCTGGGCTAAAAACCAAACATTTCTCTAATTATATCTAAAAGACTATTTCCCAAGTAAAATCTTTACTTATCTGAGAGTCAGGTTTCTAATGTTCGAAATTCAACATAAGCACTATAAGTGGTTAGCCTGTCCCCTGTGGCCACCATTGAGATCCTCACAATGAACACGTAGCTGTGCTGGCTAGTTTCTGTCAACCCTAGACAAACTGGAGTCACCCAGGAAGAGGGAAGCGTAACTGAGGAACTATCTCTATCTGACTGGGCATGTTTCTGGGGGGCATTTTCTTGATTAATAAATAAGTGGGAGGGCTCATTCCACTGTGGGTAGTGCCACCCCTGGGCAAGTGGTACTGGGTCGAATAAGAAAGCAAGCTGAGCAAGTTATGGAGAGCAAGCCCATAAGCAGCATTCCCACATGGCCTCTGCTTCAGCTCCTGCCTTCAGGTTCCTGCCTTGGTTTCCCCTCAATGATGTTCTGTAAATTGTAGGCAAAATAAACCCTTTCTGCCCCAAGTTGGTTTGAGTTAGTGTTTTATCATAGACACAGAAAGCCCTAAAATAGTAGGGATCATTTTTATTTCAATATTCAATCAGAAAAGGCCTAAATACAATCAAACAAATTATTTTAAAGAGAAATACATTTTGAACTTGGTGTCTGCTATTGAGAGAAAAGATGAACCATCATGCAGGAGATAATGTATACACAGAAGTATGGATTGATTGTGGTACAGATAACATGCCCGAGTGGCAGAAATGAGTCTGCAGGATGAGATGTGAAAGAACCTTTTTGACCAATGATTAAGTGGGAGGGCTTAGCCCTCGGTGGGAAGTGCCACCTCTGGGCAAGTGGTCCTGGGTTATCTAAGAACAATTTGCTAGCATCAGAGACATGCCTCTACATAAACACTTCGGGCGATAATAGTGAGTCGACACTAGTTCCTCACTTGTTAAAAAGGGACCACATGAAGGCACGGTAAGGAACACACTGCAGGCCGTCCGTATATGTGGGTGCGTGGGGGCTGGGGACTGTATATAATTTGCTTGATGCCCTCAACTGTAAATCTTCTCTAGATGTAAGAAAGTGTAAGTTTAAAAATGCCTCACAGCAACCCTCCAGATCTCCCCTGGTCAGGACTGATGGTGGCAGGACACCAGGTCTGAAACCTATACTAGATGAGCAGTGCCAAAGGGAACATGACTCCCATCTCAACAGCCATTACAACTGGTTCTGATTTTACCTCTAAAAGTCTTTACCTTTCTGTAAGACATGGTGTGTCTTTATTGCTTTGTACAGTTTTCCCTTAAAGTGACTGAGATTGGCTAGTTTACCACACATTTGTTTTTCCCCTTCCCCCCTATTCTCCAAAGCAAAATAATTCTCTCTGAAGATAAGATATTCAGAATATAATACAAATGGACAAGTCGAATACCACACACTCACTGCACATTTTACCAAATTCTGAAAGAGGTAAAGATGTTTCTTTTACAATAAAAGCAGTTGTCAGCAGAAGGGGTGGCAGAAATTCTCAGTTCTTTACAAATATTTTGGCTTTAGAAGGAAGTGATTCGATAGCATTTCATGAAGGTAGAGCCAGTTTCCTGTTTTAGGCTGCATTTCTAGGGCCCCGTGGGAGAAATGCCACACTATCAGAGGGTGACAGCTAAGCTTCAACCTTCTGGCACTGAGTGGTAGATACAGGGCTCAAGAAGGCTGGAAGAGAGAGGGTTGGAGTCTGAATGGAGGCCTCGACTTTTGCACCCGTCCCCCTGGCATTTCTGACAATGAGGATGGCTTCCCAGGGCTTATCAAGGAGGGATTCCCATATTATGGGTATATCTTATTTTTAATGTATTTATATGCACCCTTACTTTTAATGACTCTTCTTCCATGTTTTTGGACTGCTTTATGTTTTGGTAGAATCTAGCTAAATACATTGTATGTTTGGTGTTCTAGAACACTCTAGTGAAGAATGATGAAGGAAAGAAAATAATTTTTCAACTGGTGGATATTAACTCCCTGAGAGAAGATCCTTCAGCATCCCATATAACGCAAAGGAAACAGCACAGATACATGCTAAGTTTTACTATCCTTAGGAGAGAAGCCCTGCTGTAAAAGCTGATTTAAGCAGCACAGTGGGAAGCCCCCTTCCTTGACTTGGCTGTGTATTCATGGCCTTTCTCGTTATTCTAAGAACCAGTGCACCTTAACATTTTCATTTTGGGAATAAACTAGCTTGGAGACTTGATAAGTCACAGATAGGTTTTAGACTGTCATCAATTAGCATTTTGTCTCTTGCTTTAAGTGTGTTTTGCCATATGTGAAGGGTCTTGGTGTTTATAAATATGCAAATTTAGCTTTTATGGCTAAAAGAGAACAGTATTATGCTTTCATCCTCTGTCGGCATGTCAATGTGACATCTTTAAAAAAATGAATGACTGGGTGAAGGAATTTTTGTTCATTCCCTAGATTTCTCAGTTTATAATATATGCTAGTCTATATGAGATTTGACAGAGGCAGGCATCTAGCCTGACGTTAAAGAACCCCTGCAGGATTTATGGCATCACTGAAGACCAGAGGCACATGAACTAATCATTCACTTCCATCTACTCCCATGAATCACTGCTCAGGTCCTGCTCCATCCTCTGTTCTCAGCTAAGATAACTCTTTGAAGTCAAAAGCAGTTTTATACAGCGAAGAAGGAACAAAAATCAATCATGGTTTGCCTTTTCAGGTGCGGTTATTTGAACATATGCGGCAACCTCAATGTGGTTGAAACTATAATCCAGTGAAAGGCAGCAAAGATGTTGCATGGTATATGTGCTGGAAATCATGCTTAAGATCAGCAAAGATGTTGCATGGTATATGCGCTGGAAATCATGCTTAAGATCATGCTAAGGACAGACAGTATTATGAGATCAGTTTCCCCAGACTATAAATCTAAGCTAGAGTAACACACACACACACACACACACACACACACACACACACACACACACACACACACACACCCTATTGAGGGCTATAGGGCTAAGACACCATTCCCATCACATTTTGTACTGTGTTTCTTTACTGCAAGGGAGGAAGGCATAATTGAAAGAAACTATTAAAGCTCACCCTAGATTTCTGCCACCTAAAAATTCCAATTAGGAAGACATTTTAATTCAGTTTATATTTCTAGGTCCTTAAATTTAGTAACTATGCCAACATTTGCACAAAAAAATGTTTTAGAATACCTTAGTATGAGGCTCACAAAATGCAAATACATAGCAAATTGATAAGATCACAAAATATGGAATACAGGAAGAGTAATGACCTTTCCAGTTGATATAAAAGATCCAAGGAGCAGGTGAGACTGGTGAGTCACAAAGCAGTCAGTCATTCATTAAATAGCTATTAATGCTCAAAACACACTCTGTGTTAACTGCTGTATACACTGCAAGTAAACCACCAGACCTAGTGGGAACACTCCTGCACACTGCTTGAACACAAGGTCAATCGCTAGCATGTCATCTTTTATCACTATCCAGGTTCCTTAAATTGTATTAGCAAATACAGGCCACTTGCAAGAAAGTAAATAGTCTGCAGGAAAAACTTCAATGAGGAAGATAAAAGGATCCACACTATGTGCACCAGAAGAAGCTGTTCACACAGCCTAGGGGTGGTATACTTTCATGCTAACACTGATCACATAATAGAAAGCAGATATACAACAAACAGTCTGCCCAAGTAACTTACATTTGCAAAACTTCATAGCTGGAGAACTCATGAGACTCTCTTATTTTCCTTTATAGGCATACATTTCAAAACGTAAGGATAGTAGGTTGGATTAAATGGCCTGTATTGAATCAGTATTAAAGTATGTTTTACACACACACACACACACACACACACACACACACACACACACACACACACACACACACAAGTCAAATACAAAATAAGACTGGAAAAATTGCTTCACAGATTGTTCTTAGAAGTCACAATGTCTGTTCACATATTCCATATTCTAGTCTTGCAGAGAAAAAAAAAACAAAAAAACCACAAATTGAAGAATAGTTTTCCTGAATGATTTGGAAATTCTTATGAATAATCATTTAATCTCTCTTTACCCCTAAAATAATACTTCATTTCCTATAGAAGCTTTATTTTTAGAAAGCTTCCTTCCAGGAAATCCATATAATGATGACTTGAGAAGTCACACACAGAGAGAGAGAGAGAGAGAGAGAGAGAGAGAGAGAGAGAGAGAGAGAGAGAAGCCACATACACTATATAACTGATATTTTGGTTTAATATTTCTACAGCCAGAACATTTTAGAGATATGTTTCAAAATTGACAATATATATTTGTTTTTTGTTCTGGAAATTATTGTTAAAGACAGGCTGAAATCATGTGTCTTCTGAAATAAGTTAACCTTACTCTCTACTTGAACAGTTAACACTAAATTATTAAAAACAGAGAACCTCTTAATGCTAATTAAGTTACTTTGTTTACTCAAAATTAAAAAATAATTGAAAGCCTAGAAGGGCAGACTCATTCTCCTACTAGCCCCCTAAATCTAGACTATTTCAAAATTCAAACTGATGAAATCAACATGCCTTTCATTTCCCCTCACACCTGTATTTACGTTGTTTTACATGTCTTACCCCATCTCTATGTTCCCCTTTTATTGGAATTG